AGGGCTGTTTAGAGCTAAGACTCCCCGGGGCCTGGCTCTAGAGCCCCCAGGACACAATTGGGCACCCTTCCCCAGGTCCCAAACTGCCTTCCGGGAACAGCATGGGCCTGGGGGGTACAAATGCACACCCTGGTGCCAGGAGAACATCCACCTGTTATATCCCTCAAGGGGGCATGTGCTCTCTCAGTCCTCTGCACGCTCACACTTCTCTCCCCGGGGGTCCTTCTCTGGTTTCACCTGCTACCAGCATTTCCCCAAGGAGAGAAATCTGTCAAGTCAACTGCCTGTGGACAACTAGGGGAGAAGCCAGTCAGCCCTGGGTCAAGTGCAACCACGAGTCCCAGCAGGCCTAAGAAAGTGAGAAGCTCACTGAGGTGACTCTGGCCTGAGAGGGCTCCTGGGAAGGCCCAGGGAGAGCCTTCGGCAAACAGCCCCAGGGGTGCAGGCCTAGGCCTAGAAGCTAGGGAAGCCTGTGGCCTGCTGGCAGAGCCACAGGGGTGGCAGGCACAGCCAGGAGGAAAGGTGCTGGAGGCCAAATAGGACCTGCCTTCCCCAGAGCCTGAGGCTACTCATTCACTGAGACTAACCAGGCCTGTTGGACTCATTTCTTTCCCAGTCCCTGCCAGGCTGCTTTCTTCATCTCCAGGTCATCTTGAGGTTGAGTGGCCCTGGAGACTCTTCCAGAGTGAGTAGGCAACCCACTGCAGGAGCCTTCAGAAAAATCTGGCAAAGCAGAGGCAGGAGGATCATAAGTTTTAGGCCATCCTCAGCAACTTAGTAAGACCCTGTCTCAAAATAAATAAAATAGAGGCAGTGGCTCAGCAGCAATTCAGTGAGGCCTTAAGTAACTTAGTGACACCCTATCTTAAAATAAAAAAATAAATTAAAAAAGTGTGTGTGGGGGGCTGGGAATTTGGCTCACTGGTAAAGCACCACTGGGTTCAATCCCCTGTTAAAGAAACAGACAAGAACCAAAACCTACCACAGCACATGCAAAATCCTAGAGGTGAGAAGCCGAAGGAAGACGAGAGCGACAGAGCTACAGTCTGGTGGCCAGGCTATAGGAAGAGGCAGAAAGGTGAGTGGGCACAGGGCTGGGCAGGGGGCCAAATACAGAGGCACCCAAACCGACTTCATTTTTGGGGTACTTGGGAGCTCCAGGAGGATTCTGAATGATAGAGTTACCTAGTCAGATGAGGTTCAGAAAAAAGCAGCAGCATCCCAGAAAGGAGATGAAGTTGGGCCTGGTGTCTAGGTTGCACCCTGAAGGCCAGAGCTGGGCTCCAGCACCAGCCAGGAGATACGGCTGGGCTATACCTACTCGCATGGCTGCTTCCCAGCAGGCCATGGGACTCCTGCAGCCTGGCCTGCCCACCTAATGGGCCCTCCACTATGGGAGACCTGGCTGCAGCCACTCTGTATTAAACATGGGATGGGTAGCAAGAGTTGGGGGAGCAAGAGAGCTGAAAGACACCTGAACAAGGTAGAAGTATATGAGCATGAAATCGATCTACCTGTCCACCAGTCTAACCACAAAGAAGCACTGATTCTTCCCAGAGCTGAGGGTTGAGGGGAAGGAGTCTTAAGCTGTCATCCCGAGATTAGAAACCGAAGCTAGGTCACCAGAGGTCACCAGCTAGGACTCATGGAAGCACAGGTTCCATAGTTACGTGCTGTGTTCACATCTCAGAAATTTCACTTAAAAATTATATCCATTGGACCAGTTATTTAACCCCTTTTGTGCCTTTATAAACTGAATAATTCAGGTACTTTGTAGGGCTGCCCCTTTCACAGAACAGAGGAGCTCAAAGGGATATGGGTGAGATGCCTGACCATGCCTAGCCCACAGCAAGAGCTTGATAAGTGTGAATGGGTTGAGTGGCCCTGGAGACTCTTCCAGACTTGTTGTGGAGTAAAGGCCTGGCTAGGGACCAGAATCCCCACTTCTACCCCCAGATACCAGGAGCAACAGGATGCTGAGACCGAGGGGTCAGTTGGCCTACGTGACCCACACCCACAGCCAGGAATCCCATCTAACTTCCCCTGGGTTTCCTTGGGCCTGGCCCTGCAGTTTCCGGCCTCTTTCTTCACTTTGAAGGTTCTCTGAGTTGGAAACTAAATCCCCATGAGCTCTTCCCTTCCCCATCCCACCAGCTCTATCTGTCTCCAAAGGGCCAAGCCCACTCCCTGTGGATCAGGATCAGACTTGGAAGGCCTCAGTGTGAGTTCAAGCTCCAACCCTGAGGAGCTGGATGACTGGGGGATGTCGGGGGATCATATCACCTCTCTGCACTTCAGTGTCCTCTCTAATATGGGCTCTGTGCCACCTATTTTAAAACATGTAAGCCCTGAGAGAAGGTATTAGCCACCATCTTTCAAGCTATCTCCTCCAAGAAGCCTTTCTTGGCCTCCTTAATACAAAACTTCCCTCCCGCCAGCCTCCATCAGCTGCTAGGAATTCAGGGGATGCACTTTGGCTCCTTTGGGAGCTTGAGGTCATTTTGCCTCACTTGAACATTATTTACAAATTCTAACCCCCATTTTGCAGCCCAGAGAGGCATAGAGGCAGGGCGGCTGGGGCCCCCCTACAGGTCAGTGCCAAGGGAGGTGGCCAGGTGTAAGGAGGAGCTGCTTCAGGAGGCGCCAACAGGGAGAACAGTTTGATTCAGCCTGGGCAGGTGCCTCAGATGGGGCAGAAAGGGTTTCTAAAGATCTCAGAGGTAGGAACACTTTTCCATTTCCTTCTCTTGCCAGCCCTGTGAGAAGACTTCCTTGTATAAACCTCAGCATGGAGGAACAGCTACAGATGAGGAAACAAACTCAGGAAAGTCAAGCAGTGTGAAACTGATCCTTAGTGCTATGAACCACTCCCTCTACCCCTGACTGTGACTCTACCCCAACCATCTCAGAACCAAAGGAGGAGCCCAGACTGGTCACCAGAGCACTCCTGGTCCCACCTGGGGTCACCCAGCCATAATCTACTTCTCCTTTCCATCTTTCCCAAAGCCTCACACAGAGCTGAAAAGAGACAGGCCCAACATTTAAAGTACAGCTTTCTAGCTCCTAAATTCTTCCATACCACACTTCCCTCTGCAGCAGACAGATCCCCTGAGCTAGGAAGTTGACAGAGACTCTGATCAAGTTCTGTCATTCTGAACTGTGTGGCCTTGGGCAAACCATTCAACCTCTCTGAGTCAGTATTCTTATCTATGAAGCAAAACAAGAGAAACTTCTGCTCTTCACACCCATCTTCACAAGACTGTCATTCTAAGGAGCCAAGAAGGTGCAGTAAAACCAGTGCAGAAGTGCAGTTTCTATTTCCCTGACTCTCCACAGCACTCCCCCTCTAGGGGCACCTGAAGAACAACTCCAGGCAAGAAATTCACTCTAATATTTTACCTGTCCAGGGCCATTTTCACAACTTCAATAGCAGCAGGGACTGTCAAGTCACCATTAGGCTAAGTAGTTTAGAGGCAGATGTTTCAATGCAGGATCCTACTTAGCAATTCAGTAGCTGTGGAACAAGTAACTTAACCCCTATAAGCACTTAACCTCCATGCTCAGCATAGAGACCAACAGAGACCAGCACGTGTGAGTCTTGTTATTTCCAATGACATTTCTGGAATTAGTTCTCAAAACAGTCCCATGAGGTTGCCAGGGCAGGAATTATTAGCCCAAGTGGTCAGGTGGGGAAACTGAGGCAAACAGAAATGATGTGCACAAGTCACAAAGCCCACTCTGGGTTAGGTCTGAGAGTGAACATCAAGGTTGACAAGCCAACAGTCAAAAATCTCAAAGACCCAACAGATAGTTACCTGTCCAAGTGTCCCCCTCTCTTTCCCGAGCACTGTGCAGAGCTGAGGGTCTGCCCACCTGCTGCCTCTTCCCTCAGACCCTGTGTTCCCGAGTTGGCATGTTCTCCAGAGTACCCAACGCCTGGCTCACAGAGGCCTCAGTAATGATAAATGAATGACTGCCTGGGTCTATCTAGAAAAGTCCGGTTTTTCTGTTCCTGGAACTATATTCCTTCTACCAAGGCAACTGCCTGCTAACTGGCTTCCGGTCCCACTGATAACCGAAACCCTGCGCCCCCAGACAAGGAACTTCAAAATCAGTCGCACACAGAGTGTGCTAACACCACGCTCAGTAAAGACAGTCGGGGCCTCGGGCCCTTCCAGGAAACAAACCCTTTCTTCTAGTAGCCTACTTCCTGGTGCCCATGACTCACACCCAGACCCGGCTGGCAGGAGAGCGCGGTCTGGCAGGAGAGCCCGGTGGCAGGAGAGCCCGGTCGGATACTAAGTAAGGGTGGCTCTCAAAGGTCTTCACCGTGACTCGACAGAAAAGCAGCGGGCGCTGACTTCCAGCCGGCACCACTACCCAGAGGATGCGCCCGAGTGTGCGGCCGGGGCGGGGCCAGGGCAGGGTTCCTGAGCCCAGGGCACAGGAATATTACACACCCGCCGGCTCCAGGATTGGTGACTCCGGCCACGGAGGCCTATGGGGTGGTCCTTGCCCAACCAATCAGGGGCCCCGGGGAGCCCATTCATTCACAAAAAAATGAGCATGAAAAGGAAAGCAGTGCGGCCAGGGCCACTTATAACTCTGAAACACTCGTGTGTAGGGTGGAGCTCAGGTGGGAGACCCAGAAGGCGCGATCGCTGGAACGTAGAAGCACGCAGGGACTGCCGCGTCCCCGCCCACAGTTCCGGCCCAGGCGTGGCGGGCTTGGGGCAAACCGACTAGGGCTCCGCCCCAGGCCGGGCCAAGACACGCCAACCGTCCAGCTCCCGCCGGGTCGCTTAGTGCCACCCCGCCCGGAGGGAGGCTGCGTGGCTGAAGCAGGTGGCCCCCCACCGCTTCCCTCCCGGAGGGAGGCTGCATGGCTGAGCATGGCGCCCCCCACCGCTTCCCTCCCGGAGGGAGGCTGCATGGCTGAGCATGGCGCCCCCCACCGCTTCCTCCCTGTCTGGGTCTGAGCGCCCCGGCTGGTCACTCACGGCAGTCATCTTCGTCGCTGTTGTCCGAGCAGTCGTCGTCCTCGTCGCATCTCCATACCGAGGGGATGCAGCGCTCGTTCCGACACCGGAACTGGTCCTCTTGGCACTCCTTAATCGGTCCTAGGGGGTAGGAGGAACCGAGACTTGGGTTAGCGACTTGAGCCAAGGAAAGGGGAGAAGGAAAGGGGGTGATGCTGGAGACCCCGGAGGCTTAGGGCACCCTGGATCCAGATGGAGGGCTGGGTGCTGTGACTTCCCCGGATGGCGGGCCGCTTGGTGGTACGGTGAGACCAGGCACATACTTAACAGTCGGCGTCACACGACTGGGGTACACCCTCCATTCAGACACATTCAGCCGCACACATGGCCCATAGTCGAGATTCAGGCAGACACAGCCCACAAGGAGACAGCTCACGCTCGACACATGCACTGGGCTAATCGGCTCATTCCCCTTGCAAACACTCTAACGCGCGCGGGGGTCTCGGTAAAGCATTGTCAGGCGGGGAAGCAGCTCGGTTCCGCTCACCGCCGCGGTTGAGCGCGCATGTTAAATAAACCCCAAGCGTGAGAATGGCACAGCTCACCCGAAACCATGAATGACCAGCCCCAGTAAAGTTCATGGTCGGTCAGGGCCCCGCTGCGCCCATCCCCTAAGAGCCGGTGCCCGGAAAGCAGAGCTTTCAACCCAGAGCCGGTGCCCAGAAAGCAAGCGGGTTCGAGTGCAAATTCAGGGATAACTGGGTCCCCTCAGGCCGTAGGGCCGCGCTTTGTTGGCTGCTGGGGCGGCGCAGAGCACCGACTGGGACCGGTCGCACGCACCTTGGCCGCCGCGCAGCTGATCCGCCGCGGCCGCGAGGTGCTGAAGCTGCAGCAGCAGCA